GCCCTTTAACGCCTAATACAAAAGACTTTGCTGGTGCATCACATACTATACCTTTTAGAATAAAAGGAATTATTTTATTATTTATGCATAAACCATTATTTATTAAATCTGTACAATCTTCGACAAAATTTGATAAAAATTCATTGACATCTTGTGGTTTTTGAGGACCAAAATAAACACCTATTATAAAAACATTTGAAAACCCTGAAATATTTCCTAATATTGGCCATAAAGAATTGGTAGACGATTTACCAATAGGCAAACCGTCGATATTTATCAATAATTCAACTATTTCAATGTTTTCATTTATCATTATTTGTAAAATTCTTTTCAAGCCAAAATGAACATATTCTCCTGGACATACAGTTTTAAGCACACACGTTTTTGCTGTATGAAGTAGTGTTCTACTATCCAGTGGAAGGTTAGAAAAACAATTGTGATTATGTAAAATATTCAATAAACTATTAAGTGAAACATGAGAAATATTATGTGAGATTGCCCAGTTAGCTAAACTAGATCTTATATTTTCAGCTTCTAACCTGAAATCTGTAGTAATACTGGAGTTGGTCATCACAATATTATGATCACAATTTTCTGAAGGTTCTGAAGATTCACTTAGTGTTAATAAACTGGGCTTAGGAGGAGAAAAATGTGTCACTTCGATACTTTCTTGAGAATTACATTCATCATCACTTGATTCAATAAAATTATTAACAGGAACAGGTTTCTGTGTTTCAAAGTTATTAACTTCTTGAAAAGTGTTGGTTATTTGTTTTTCAGGCTTATTCTTATTAACTTCAATTAAATTTCTTTGGACAAGGCGCCGCAAATGCCTCTTACTTACTGTACTAACTGATTTAGATTTAGGCATGTTTAATTCATAAAGAAAGGAATAAATAATAAATATAAAATAAAGGAAATTAATAATCCAACTATTAAGTATTAAATTTAAAAGATGCTTACTCAAAAAAAACCGTGTAACCGAAAGACATTGCACATTGCAAACCAAAAAGTGAGGTTAGTTGATCGTTTTCGCTCTAATTCTTTATTTTAACGATTGTGACATTTTCGATTGTTAATCATTCGATTCGATAAGTGACAGAATTCGATTTTAGTACGTTTAAATTATAAAAAGAATGCCTAAAATCAACTTTACATTAGGATTTTTGTCATATTTGCTTTTATTATTTGTTCTAGAGAATACTCTGTTATTATACAAGTATTAATTATTTCGAATCTACATATTACCGATTTAATTCTTATAATCGATTAATCGATATAATTTTGGTACCGCGGAAAGCAGGGAAACAAAAACAAAATGCAGGCATCTGCATTTATGTCTTTTTCTAAACTGACCAATCAGAAAACTATTCGCAATTCGCAATTCGTAATTCGCAAGTATATGGAATGCCCTTTAAGCAATGATATATACAGCACCGTAAAGTGTTATAAGAACCAAGAACCAATCAGAACGTGCCACGTTGGCTGTGGGCTCGTGTACAATAGCTAAATAGTACAATAGCTTAGCAGATCATCCCAAAAAATTAAGAAAAAAAATATGTGAAAATATTACCATCAAGCAATTGATAAAGCTGTAACTATCTCAGATACATCTCAGACATATCACTATTCACCAATATATATGTTACCAAGCTTTCAATTTTTTTAAATGTCTCGGAGACATTTCAGAAATTTCTGAGATATTGTGATCAATATGTGATCTGATTGAGATGGTACTGAGAGATTTGATGCTGTGTGGGCTGTGGAACCATTTAAAATCTGCGCAAACATAAGTGCAAGAGAGATGAGATATTTGGCCTATTTCATTGCTGATTGACAGACACATTGAATGATTCTTAGATGAAAACTGTTTAAAATATAAAAAAGAAGAGACCATTATCAATCTTAACATTCTTAACCCTATTTTGTTTCCGTTTGATGTTTGTTTATGTTCAGTGTGTATTATTTTTAACAGTATTTCTTTGTATTATTTAGTATATTTATTTATAAAGGTAATAATTTTTTGTATAGGTCAATGGGATTATTTTTTTGAAATATATATTATAGCAAACCGATCAAAAAGCATTTTCGGAAACTTTGTACTAACCCTCTTACTCTTTCTTAGACTTGACTTGTACGTAAATATTAAGCCTATAACCCCTTTCTGGGCAGTAAAAACAAATTTGTATCGAGTCACCGCGTCCATTAAATCCGACGGATTGTTGGATAATGACAAATGACGTCTTAAGTTGTCGTTGTCTGGTTGTCAGAACCGTATTTTACCTGAGGTGCGTTCGTTTGTTCGTTTAGATGTCCAGCTAATTGTCCACAATATGCGCGCGCAGCACAGGTTAAACCATAGACCTATTAAGTATGGACACGGCACTATCGTTATTTTGAGGTTATTCAGCGTTCCCAATGATAGAGAGAGAGGTCCGTGAGAGATGGAGCTAGTTTGGGCTAAAAGTAGGCGGGACCAAAAAATAAATAAATATATACAGGGTGTGTGGAAAAAGGCGATTAATCTGTTAAATTATTTATACGCTTAATATTTAAATATTATTTTTATCTTGGTATCCACTTGGACAGAAGAATGACCTGGAAGAAACCTATTTTTTACAAGAGAAAGCATCTAGGTCTTAAATTGCGAAATCTGTACTGGCTAATAGGTAGGATGTTCCAATTAACAATACAAAATAAGAACTGTATTTGCAAATGAGTGGGAATTTAGGCTCAGCTGAAAAATGAATTTTGCTCGGTAAAAAAATAATAAATCCTCAACCCTATTCTACCATAATCTACCCTCCTCTACCCCAACTACCTTGCATTTCTGAAAACGTAACTCACGTGGTCTTTTGCTTTCTTACTATTGGCTAATGCATTGTCCAATCTCTCATTGCCATATGCCCAAACTAGCTGCATCTCTCTCATTCATCGACAACACTACCTCTTTGTTTAAACCGCGTCCATAGTTAATAGGTCTATGGGTTAAACTGAATAGGTCTATTGTTGCAAATAAACACCTCTCCCGTCAATCGGATTGCAGCCTAATGCATTTCTTCTTTTTAATTTCTAAGGGCCGGTTTATCAATTGAGGGATAACTCGCCGAGTTAGCCAACCCTGGGTTACCTCTAACTCTGGGCTAAATTGCGAGTTAAGAATAAAAGTGTTTATCCAAGCTTTTTTAACCCCGGGCTAGCAAACCCACGAAATGCTGAAATGTTGGCAATACATTATAGCCGTTGAAACTTTGGCAACGTTGTTTTGTGCTCGTTTTTGACATTTCTTGACTATAATAACTTTTTTTGGGTTTGAATATTTGAAATGAAAATTAGAAGTCAGAAGAATAAATATGGCGGATAGAAGGGGAGAATCGAATTTTTCCGAATTCGAAAAAAAAAAACTTGTTTGTAGGAAATTTTACCATGTCTTCTATGGGCTTTAACACAAACAAAACGGTTTCTTTTTTTAATCGAAAGCGAGCGAAAAAACCATGCTCATAAAAATCTTCAAACGAAAAATGAAAAAACGAATAACGAAAAACGAATAATAAAAAACGAAAAAAACAAATTTTTTATCTTTAAATTCTAGAACGTCTTGGTCGTCATCGCTAAAATGCAGATCTTCCATTGGATTTACTTAAAAACAATGAAAAAATGCGTTTGACAACAGAAAAAAACGCAAATTTTAGCTTAACCCAGAGTCAAATCCACAAACCTGCCAAATTCGCGCGAGTTAAGATAACCCAGGGGTATCCCTCGAGTTAACAGTTGACCCGCGATGGAAAAACACTTTTGGCATTTTAACTCAGGGTTATCTTTAACTCGAGGGGTAACCCTCAATTGATAAACCGGCCCTAAACAATGAAAGTAAACATAACCTTAAATTAAACATACAGGGTGTCCCAATAGTGCGGTAAAGCCCATTTACTAATGACGTCTTCGAACTTTTTTTGCCAAATAATAGTAGAAAATTAAATATCGATTAATGATTAATCAAATTTCATTAGCAGGTATCCTAAATTTTTAGTTATTCTATAATTTACAGTGACACGAGTTCAATAAGTAAAATTCGCATAGTTCGTAAATGATGACGTCATAGAGGTAACTAGATTAAATTAAAATTATAATAATTTAAAGTTTAATTTAAAAATTACCAAATATTTCGGGTAGTTAATGATCGTTAATTAATTGATATTACATTTTCTACTATTATTTTGCAAAAAAAGGTCGACAACATCATTGGTAATTAGATCAAAATGAAATTATAACATCAAAAACTGGACAGTTTTTAATAAAACTGAAAATATCTCAGAAACGGTGACAGTTAGGTATAGGGAAATGTTATGAAAAAAGATTCAGTAAGAAATAGACTTCCCATTGGATATTATTAATATAGGGTGTTCCATTTACATTAAGCGAGTAATTATTATGTTTCCGTTTTGACTCACCCTGTATACAAATTGTAATTTTGTTGAAATGTTACTAATTTTTGTGAAAATAGACCATTTTCAAAAAGTGCTGACACAGAAAAATTCACATTATCTGATACAGATTCTGATATACAGGGCCTTAAAATCATGTCGATTTGAACATAAAAATGGCCATAACTTTTTAAATACTCAGTATAGTCATATGAAATCTTATATTGAGAAACTCGTGAAAACGAGCTGAAATCGAATATGAAATAAAAAATATATCATTTCCTTTAAAAAAAGGTATGTTTGGTATGGATTCGATTTATGGGCCACCCTGTATATTCTGAAATAATTTTAAATTGCGCGCCTAAAGGTGCTTAACATTTTTTCTATTTATAATTTTTTCGTATCTATTATAATAACTGAGTAAATGGGCTTTACCGCACTATTGGGACACCCTGTATCTGTCACATCAAGATTTTCATTTCAACCCGGCAACGTCGCAACAGGTTGACTTGTGACGTCATCGCCTAGCGAGCGCGAATGTCCTTTACTCCATTCGAAACGATTTCTTTCTTCCAGTTTCAGCGGAAAGCGACTTGGACAGAGGCTTGGCCATCATGGCATGCGCCAGAAGAGCAATGGCTGTTGGTGTTCCAGAACTGGGCGTTCCACCCCACGATCCCTACGTCGTCATCACGCGCAACTTCAGTTTCTCGGCCGATATCGGAAGCTTCTTGGGGTAAGTGCTTCGCTATCACCTCGCATTCACCACATACACTGTTGGAAATTTAATTTCGCATAATAGGGAAATTAATGTTGAATTCTTAGCCGGTTGAAATCCAGTCTACCAGTGTACATTTCAATAGAATGTCGCGATGAATTCTAATAAATTTAATTGTTCTACTGGATCGCACGCCGCGATTTGTAGAGGTACAAAGTTATTTGTGTTAGGTATGAGGTACAAAATTATTTAGAAACTACATTTTATAGTTTTTTTGGGGATATTTCAAAAAATGTGTGTATTGGTTGGTACAGTTTTGAAAGAACACAAATTTTGTTGAAATAAGGGAAAAATAATTCAATTTTCAGCTAGAATTATACCTCAGCTCAGTAATATGGGATGACATCTGTATGACAGGTTTGGCTATTGTTTAGCAGAAAGTGGTGGACTATTTTTTTAGAGTTCTTTTATTTTCTGTTTTAAAATAATCTTTAAGATTATTTTTGGAATTTTCTTTTTATTATTTTCTTTGAATTTACTTTCTTTTTCAAGCCATTGTGGCAAAAAGACATATCTACATAATTCTATTTTAATATTAGTAATATTTTTTCGATAAATTATCGTTTAAAAATTCTCATTTCTTTTTAATCGACTCGACGTTCACCCATCCGAACCCGTTTTGATATTGTCGAAGTGTTGAAACCGTCGAAATTATTTGATTTTTAATCTAACCAAGCCAAAGCGCGATGTGAAGTCCAGTAGAACAATTAAATTTATTAGAATTTATCACTACGTTCTATTGAAATATACACGGGTAAACTGGATTTCAGCCGGCTAAGAATTTAACATTAATTTCCCTATTATGCGCGAATAATTTTCCAACAGTGTATACCTATTAACTAATATACTGCTAACTCCCTATCCATTCCATGAGAGAAAATCGTAGCGATTAAAGAGAGAGATCCGACCCTCTGTGGTGTGCTTAGTCGTAGGTATGATCTTTTTTCCATCTCCGTTTCACCTATGATTAATGTCAAATGACGTCATGATTGATTCCTGATGGAATTGATTTATGTGAATATAGGAACAAATTGCTGGATGGTTGGAAATGTTGACGTTGATGTTGACATTGACAATTTGAATTTGAATTTTTAAATGTGAGGGAAATTACAAAAAATGGAGGTTTATTTGATGGCAAAAAATATGTTATATTCATCCGATTCATCATCAGAACCTGAAAGTGAGGAGTCCTCAAATAACAGTGTCAGTGATGAGTTATTGGAACTATTTTTAATAAACAAAGAAATCAATAAAACTCATGCAATAGCAGATTTCGGAATCCATTGCAAATTGCAAAACCAGCAAAACAAATTAAAAAATTGAATGCACGTTGAATGCACAACTTCATCATGGAACATCAGATCATAACCGAAACCGATCATGGAATGAAAAATATGGATTATAATTCATCTGTCAACCAGATCCATCCTCTTCAAAATCCGATTAATCAGATAACTAATCGCTGTTTCATCGATGAGAAAAAGATCGTTGACAGATGACAAACGTTTAAAAAATCGCTGAATAAATGAAAAGTTTGATGACATCGGTTGTTCAATCGCTGAATAAAAGATCACACCTCGTTTATACGCAAGCGCATTAATTTTAAAAGGACCAATAGCGAGTAGCTGAGGCCTAAAAAGAAAAGAAGGAAAATAATACTTGAAATCGTGTTTAAATTCGGTAACCTGCCATATTTACACAGGCAAGTCAAAGTCGATTTTAAAAATATATCAAAAAATATACCAAAATAAAAGCTAGCACGTTTCTGACGTTTCATTTGCTCTGTCAAAAGTAGCCAATCAAGAAATCTTTCACTTGAGCATGCGCATAAATAAGCAGGCACACCACAGTATAATGTTTGCTACGGGTTTTAGACCATTATTAGCGGTATAGTAGTTATAGGTATACAGGGTGTAAACGATATGATAGTCATTATTTAAATGGTTGATAGGGGAGGTCAAAACAAACAAAAAAGTTCAAATAACATGGGTGCAAAAACCTCGTGATTTTCGAAAAATTCGACTAACAATACCTCAATTTCCAGAGCTAAAATCAACATGAGCCAAATGACCTGGGCCGGACTCGCCAGATGGAATCTCACGGCCACACAATTGAGCCTCGACGACGACGACAGCGCCGCCTTCCACTTCAAACTCTACTGGGACTACTTGAAAATCGCCGGACATTTCGACCTGCAAGAGGACCAAATCATCTTCCATCCGCAACAGCACGGTCAATTCTCGTAAGTACTTCCAAAAAACGAGTAAATTCGCTATTTTATACGCGACCATTGCAGCATCGAATTCGAAGACACCGATTGGAAAGGTACCCTCAACGTTACCAAGCCCAACAAAAGCAGTAACGGTACAGTCAACGAATCGGACATTCACTGGCACGCCAAAGACGTTAAAGTATGTTAAATATTCGAATGTAGTGAGTAAGATTGTTGGTAACTTTCCTGTCGATTTTAGGTACATTTGACCGGTTTGGGACTGCTCAACACCCCGACCGCCGCCCTTTTGCAAGAGGGCTTAGAGAACGCCCTGAACAGGAACTTGATGGGCAATTTGATCGGGAAATTCATCAAGATGCGTTTGGAGACCGTTTGGTGGAACACCGGCAAGGTTTGGCAGTTGACCCAATGGTGCAAAGACCATCCCGAATTCTCCGAAGAATTGGATTTAGTCTACTAAAAGGTCGTCGCTGAACTTGTTAAAAATACCTACAAATAAAACCTGTTGAATAGTCATTTTTTTTCTATTTAATCTCGTATTATCTCTAAAAAACATTTCACACTTCCTGTGTGATTACAACAAGATGTACATTTAGAACAGATGATTTAATCTACCTTGTTCGTTTATATCAATTTCAAAAATTACCTGAATAAAATCGATTAAAATCATTTAATCTCTCTGTAGTAATCCTTCGATTTCAACTCGATCACAGTACATTCGGCGGCCTACAAAACAATTTATTAGAAAAATAACAATTTTTTATACATAAAGTACATTCGCGCTCGCTAGGCAATGACGTCACAAGCCAACCTGTTGCAACGTTGCCGGGTTGAAATGACAATCTTGATGTGACAGATATATTTAATTTAAAGTTATGTTTACTTTCATTGTTTAGTAATTAAAAAGAAGAAATGCATTAGGCTGCAATCCGATTGACGGGAGAGGTGTTTATTTGCAACGCTTCACAACCCTATAGAACAGAAATATATATTTAAAAGACTATTCGTAAGTTTAACATAACCTGTAAATTTCAATGTGCTGAACTATCGAAAATATTGATCAGGAATTAATCGGGAAAAAAGAGCCTACATCGTCCCGTTCTCTTTCAAAATAGGTCGAAAAACACCGAAAATCGCGGGAGAAACTGTCGATAAATGTACATAAACCGCACGAAAAACTACCTAGAACGAAGGAAAAACACAAAACCTACTCGTAAACTTGAAAAAATACAGGAAAATCGCGCAAAAAACAACAAATTGTAGTCATAACCTGTTAAAGTGTCAACTACAAAGCGCCACTAAATATTGCAAATGTTGAGACTAAATGCATGACAACATCGCCTTCGACTTTCAACTACGCCTCGTTAAATTCCCCTAGTCAAATGGGAGAATTAACATTGATACTAGGGAAATGTTGAACTGCTTGGAAATTAATGACGTCTTCTAAAAACGACGTCATTGCCTAACGAGCGCGAATGTCCTTTACTTATACATACATTTCTAACAGTCTCCATGGAATCGTACATTAAAGCCTCCAAAGTGTCCTTAATAGAAACATTCCACAGACTTCTCACAACGTTAAACTGCTGCGTTTTGCTCAACCACAACACAAAATAGCAGGTTCTTTCCCTCATCAGCGGCTCGGAATGCTTCAATAAATCCACCAAATCGAGAGGAGCATTATCCGGATGATCGGAATCCGATGAAATAATTTTCACCACGACGTCCCCGTTTTCCGGCAACTGCTTCAACAGCCTCGTCAATACAGCCAGAACATCGGCAACTATGCGCAATTTCGCTTTAACTACAAATAAATTTAATGTATAACTTTAATGTAATAACCGCGAGTCACTCGAGGTGTGTGAAGTTGGCACCGCAACTGTAGTTCTCAGTAGTTCTGATTAGAGTTCTGGATTCCTTTTGGATAGTTTAGGAGTTCTTTTGTACAAAAAATAATAGTTCTGGTGTTTTAACGCATTATTTTTTTAAATAAAACATGCGGTGCTAACTTCAAATCTAAATTTACAATGGAATAGTTCTGATTAGTTTATTTGATGTATTTTGATGAGTTCTAGAGTTCCTGAATATTAAAAAATAATAATAATAATAATAAATTTCATCAATAAACAAGTATAAAGAGTTAATCAATTAGATATATTATCAGATAACCCATAACTTTTTAATTATTGAAAAACTCGTCGAATCCTATTCAGAACTGTTATCAGAACTCCTGAGAACTCTCAAAAAATGTTCAAACTCGAATTTGTATTTTTTTGGCTCGAAGTGATTTTTGAGAATATCTCAAAAACTATTGTTTTAATCGCAAAATACCATTAAAATTTCTTGCAGAACTCGTCGAATCCTATTCTGAACTGTTATCAGAATTCCTGAGAACTCTCAAAAAATGTTCAAACTCGAATTTGTATTTTTTTTGGGTCGAAGTGATTTTTGAGAATATCTCATAAACTATTGTTTTAATCGCAAAATACCATTAAAGTTTCTTGTAGAACTCGTCGAATACTATTTAGAACTGTTATCAGAACTCCTGAAAAATTTTGATTCTCAAAAATCACTTCGAGCCAAAAAAAATTCAATCCGAGATTGGAATTTTTTTGAGCGTTCTCAGTAGTTCTGATAACAGTTCTGAATAGTATTCGACGAGTTCTACAAGAAACTTTAATGGTATTTTGCGAATTTTTCAATAATTAAAAAATTATGGGTTGTCTGATAATATATCTAATTGATTAACCGTTTATACTTGTTTATTAATGAAATTTATTATTATTATTTTTTAATATTCAGGAACTCTAGAACTCATCAAAAATACATCAAATAAACTAATCAGAACTATTCCATTGTAAATTTAGGTTTGAAGTTAGCACCGCATGTTTTATTTAAAAAAATAATGTGTTAAAACACCAGAACTAATAGGTTTGTTCCTACAACAGTCAGAAATAGTCGGTGGTCGTCAGGAGTCTGCGCAAGACATTTCTGATTCTGACTTGGTTAACAATTTATTGTTCCAACAGTTCAAGGGACTGGTTTTGTGATAGTCAGAAAAATTTGCTGATAGTACAGAGATTTAGAATCCGGCGCAAGCGCATTTTCAATTAGGGTTTAATTTGTATTTCTGAATATAGGTTAATTATTAGGTTTTGTTGTTTGTTGTTTTTGTTTGATATTTGGTGAATATGTAATAAATGTAAAGACTGTTCCATCAAGAAATCGGAAATTTGATTACACCATTCAATCATAAACCGCGCATGCGAAATAGAAAAGTCAGAAACTTATTGGTAACAAATCAGTGACTTTTTGTAGGAACAAACCTATTATTTTTTGTATAAAAGAACTCCTAATCAATCCAAAAAGGAATCCACAACTCTAACCAGAACTACCGAGAACCAAAATTGCGGTGCCAACTTCACACACCTAGTCACTCGAGTGAATTAAATCGAATAAATACCAACCGTTGAGCGATAGGAGAAGTTTAACCAACAGATACACCGACAATACAACCACGGAATCGCAAAATTGCAACAGAAAATCATCATCGATGTGAACTAAATGGGCGATCAATGTGAATATGTGTTGGATCGCCTGGAAATCGTCTTCGGACAATTCCGATAGTTTTCTGTACCTTTCGACTCCCAATGGTAAAGGCGAGTTTATCGGAGAAGATAGATCGGATGATGAATCTTCACGACATTCTCTTAGGAGTAGTTTACAGGCGTACACCAAATTAGGTACTAGTTTCACCTCTAAATAGACCTAAAATACAAACGGTTTTATACAGGGTGTTTCATTGGGAAAGGGCAATATTTTAACCCTGTATAGAGGTCACCCAGGGGATTACAAAAAACCCATATACTATGGGTCTTGCGTCCTTTATAACCGAGTTACAGGGTGTTTTTTGAATTTGGCCCATTTCTTTCGACACCTATAACTTTTGAATCACTTAGTATATTTTTTTGATATTTGGCATAGATATTCTATACCTTTAGGACAATTTATTGCCACATTAAAAAATTACAAAATTCAGGTCCGGATTTCAAAAAATTAATAAAATTTGACCGACACTAAAACAACACCCTATACATCATATTTTTAAAAATTGAATTTCAAATTCAGAAAGAGCATAAAAAACTGAATGTATTCATCAACTTTTTATTTTCCCGCATGCCGTTTTTCTACCAAATTTTAAACGTTAAAATGTACATTATGAGATTTTTGGTCCATGTAAATTGTAAATGAAGGGCTTTTAATTATTTTTTCTTTAATAAAACCAGATTTACTTAACACTTTCATGAAAATTCTTGAAATAGACCTATTGAACTTGAATTAACATTCACATAAACCAATAAAAATTACAATTACAGATCCGCACTTAATAAAATTAAAATGATTTCATTTCATTTAATAATTAATCATTGATTATTTAATTTTTACATTTCTACATGAGAAAATTCAAAACTTAACCAAGTAATTTACTAGATTTTTCAAAAAAAATACTAGAATAAATATTCTTTTCCACACCACCAAGAGGTAGAACACAAGGCGCGTTTTTTAATGAGGTATCCTCAATAGGCCTAATCCACACGAACTGAAAAAATGGAACAATGAATAAAAAATATGAAAAATAAACAAAAAAATTAACAAAAAAACAACTCTAAAAACAATCGAACAAAAAATTTGGTTTTTAACCAAATAATTAATATCTACTAATTTAATACTAATTATAAATAACAAAATGATAACAAAATGAACTAACAAACTAACAACAAAAAACACCAGAAAAAAAGTCATTTTAACAATTGCTCAAAATGTTCTCCATTTTGTTTGATACATAATCTAGCTCTCCTAATCAAGTTGCAAATAAATCTTTTAAGAACATTGGGATTGTTTTTTAATTCTTTAAAAGTGCCTTCTAGGTAAATGTGTTCTATCTCTTGGTGGTGTTGAAAAGAGTACTTTTAGTATCTTTTGTAAAGAAGCTAATAAATTACATGGTTAGGTTTTGAACTTTCTCATGTAGAAATGTAAACATTGATTAATCAATGATTAATTATTAAATGAATTGAAATCATTTTAATTTTATTAAGTGCGGATCTGTAATTGTAATTTTTATTGGTTCATGTAAATGTTAATTCAAGTTTAATAGGTTCATTTCAGGAATTTCCATGAAAGTGTTAAGTAAATCTGGTTTTATTAAAGAAAAAATAATTAAAATCCCTTCAATTACAATTTACATGGACCAAAAATCTCATAATGTACATTTTAACGTTTAAATTTTGGTAGAAAAACGGCATGCGGGAAAATAAAAAGTTGATGAATACATTCAGTTTTTTATGCTCTTTCTGAATTTGAAATTCAATTTTTAAAAATATGATGTATAGGGTGTTGTTTTAGGGTCGGTCAAATTTTATTAATTTTTCTAAATCCGGACCTGGATTTTGTAATTTTTTAATGTGGCAATAAATTGTCCTAAAGGTATAGAATATCCAATAGCCAAATATCAAAAAAATATACTGAGTGATTCAAAAGTTATAGGCGTCGAAAGAAATGGGCCAAATTCAAAAAACACCCTGTAACTCGGTTATAAAGGACGCAAGACCCATAGTATATGAGTTTTTTGTAATCCCCTGGGTGACCTCTATATAGAGTTAAAATATTGCCCTTTCCCAATAAAACACCCTGTATATTTCTTATTAGTACGAGGTACACGAACCTTTCGAATTTTCGTCAGGCAATCCTGGTTGACATCTTTAATTACAAACGGTATTGATAGTAATCTCGCGACGAAATTCAATACTTTAGATGTGGCGTTTGGGTTTCGCAACGGTGAAACTATAACGTTCGCTTGGCTAGATTCAGTCAACGATACTAGCTCACCGTCTATGATTTCTTGTATAGTTCGGGTGAGGAATGCTATCCATTCGTCGGTTTCGATGGGCTGGTTGTCTTCGATGAAATTGAATGTTTGTAGAGTACCTAAAAAATTGTTGCTAGAATATGTGAGGTAAATATGAAATGAAGCTCACTTTTCACCAAACTTCCTTGGCTGAGTTGCTCGATGGTTTTAATCGAACTGATTCTTAAATTAGACAAATCGTTTTCTAGCGATTTTTGATCGGTAGACTCGGTTATTTTTACATCTACATCTAAATGTGCATTGTTGTTTTGCATATCTTGGCTGTTCAATTTCTTCTGTTGTTCTGATGAGTGTTTACTGGTTTTCGAAGTTGAAGGTGTCTCGACGGGTTTCGGCGAAGGAATTCTACAAATAAAATTAAAATTATCAAGAAATAAATGTAAATATCGTAATTACGTACTTGGATAATTTATTTTTCATGCTCTCTTTCCTCTGCTGCTCTTTGGCTTGGGACGTGTTAGGAGATAACGGTCTGGTTAAAGATTGCGGTGGAGTTTTCTTTGCAATATTCACGTGACCTTTAATAAAAGGATGGACTAATATTTCGTTCCACGTTATCCTTTTAGAGGGATTTTTTTGAAGCAACCCCTAAAAATAAACAAATGTACCTCGATATCTGTTGCAAATATTTTGGTTGTACCTTTAAAAAAGATGTACAGTTTTGGGATAAAAAAGTTGATAAAGTGTCCCATTGAATATGCTCGTATTTAATCAATCTTATCAAATGCAGTATGGATGAAGTACAAAACGGTGGAGTTCCCATTAATAATTCGTAAATTATGCATCCCAGAGACCAAAGATCGGCTGTGTAATCGTAGGGTTTCTCGTCTATCAGTTCCGGAGCCATATACAAAGGTGTACCTAAAATAAAATAATAAATAATTTCAATAAATTCATTTAAAAATTTATCTTATACCTTTTATAGATGTTAGAACGTGGGTTCCAGTGCTCATGTTTCTAGCAAAGCCGAAATCACACAATTTCGCTATGTTATTAATATCAAGTAGTATATTTTGAGGTTTTAAATCCCTAAAAAATCATTAATTAGACAAATTTTATGTACATGATTATGTAGTATGGACATACCTATGTAAAACTCTATTGGAATGTAAATAATACAATGCTGAAACAAGATCCCATACAATTTTCTGTACTTTTTCTTCTGGCAAATAACCGACTTTTCCCAAAACGCTCGTTAACTCCGTATGTGCGAATTCAGTTATAACTACAATCTATAAAAGAACTAATTAATAATAGTAATATATAACTCTTCAATTAGTACAGTACCTCATTTTCGGTTTCGAATGAATCTAACATTTGAATTATATTCGGATGATGCAAGTCCCTTTGTATTTCACATTCTCTTCTAAATCCTTTTAGCTCCTTAGCTGATCTTCCTCTCTAAAATTATAGCACAATTAAATAATGTGTTTACAACAGGGATTGTTTACTTCTAACCTTGCTGATTACTTTTAGAGCAACAAATTCACCACTAGAAAGCTGCTTTGCTTTATATACTCTGCCGAATGAGCCTTCCCCCAAAGTTCCAATAACTTCGTATTTATCCATCTTTTTAGAAGGAAAATTGCAAATATGTACGGAAAAATAAAGCAGAGAAGCTCTTGTTTAGTTTTTCAAATTACAAAACATGTCATACGTCATAAATGACAATTCGATTTCTTCTTTTTTAAAGCAAAGTATACGCGATTCTGCGACTAAATAACTACGTGAGAAAAGACCATATTATGATGATTCTTGATGACATTGACATTTGACATTCCTGACAACAACGACAAATAATAGTAAATAACGTTAAAATAATTTACATATTTTTAAAAATGTCTGTGACAATAGACCCTAGGGATGTTTTATCTTATTTAAACGAACTCGGATATACAAATATAAGTGCACAACAACTAAAAGAATTCATTATAGGTACGTTTATTTTAACGGCACAAGTACAACAATGAAAACGGTTAACGAAATGTTTTTTACAGATCTCAAAAAAATTATCAAATATGAATGGAAACGGATGAAGCATTTAGAACAAAACGAACATAGCAACAATACATTATCAACAGTACATAGTAGTATAAGCACGAAGTTTCAAGAAGAATCGTCAGTAAAACAAAAATCCACTAAATCATCTAAACCCGATATATTCGAAACGCTCTACAACTTACCAACAGAAGCGTTTAAAGCGAAAATTGCCAATAAACCAGATAAACCACCAATTGCTATACACATTAAGCAATCGAAGAAAAAAATTCCGAGTCACGATCACTGCGTACACGTAGAAAATGTAAACGCTCGCGAACAAACGAATATAAATGATAAAATCTGTTCTGACTGTTGTAAAGCTTCAGTAGAGACCACTGAGAAGCTGAACAATGAAGAAAGCAAAACTGACCCTTCTAAAACTGACACAGAACTCGAATCCGGTAGAACGAGTGGCTTGAGACCTAATTCGAAACAAAGCCGAACATCATCTAGTAAAAGTACAAAATTGAAAAAGTCCAAAACGCAAGGTTTGTGATTGTGCGATTTATTCATTCAACGTTTATTCATAAAAATGTTGATTACATTTATACAATACAGTTTTACAGAAAGTAACTTAATATATTAATAAAAAGAATGTTATAATCTGTTTGGCTTATGCAATAACTTTTTCTTAAATAAACAGTATCGTTACATAATGATTGGGTATTTCCATGCATTTGTACAGATAAATAGTAGCTACGATTTACAAAAATTGTTTTTTTTTTCAGTTTTGAGGGCTCCATCGAGGAAAACCATTAGCAAATCTGACCCAGTTGCTTTATATCAAGAATACCAGAAGCAATGGAAAACCATCAAATTTCCAGGTGAACAAAGCCATTTGGATTTACGATGGGCCATTAGGGAAAAACTTATGGACGGTCCAGTTGTTGAAATAAAAAAGAAACCCAGCGCTAAGAAAATACCATTCACATAACGACTCTTTAGTTACTAAGATTAAAGTGTTTTGAGTAACAATAAACGATTGAATTTAGTGTTATTAATCCGCAGATTGCTCAACTAGTAATACCAAAAAAAAACCACCTAAAAGGTGAACGATCTAAAACAACATTTATGTAAGATTTTTTTTGAAACACCCATAAATAAAGGAATAATACTCGCAAAAATACCATCGTTTATGATAATTTATATTATTTTAACAGCCGACTTTCAAAATACTCGAGTATTAAAACAAGACTTCATTGACCCAGAAAATAAAAAACGAGTCCTGTATAAAAATATACTTTTTATGCACATTGTTACGAATATTCCAAACCCGTTTGCAGTCGAAATTAAATATATAGGCACTCTCGCGAGATTCTGCGCGAAAAAACAACGCAAACGAAAAAAAAAAAAAATAAAAATAAAAAAATAAACCGCGATGGAATAGCTGTAAAAATTTTTAACTGTACCAAATCCCGTCATTACATCGCTTACTTACGTAAGATTAATCGCCTCGGATCCCCGAAAGCGCCGCCGGAAATCGTCCTGGAGCCGGTCCTGGTCGTTAGTTCGAGGTGAACGAACCTGTTCGTCCAAAAAATTCATCGGATCTTAAAAATAGCCGATTTGTTGTTGTCAGTAGGTCAGTGGACCAACGTTTACATACTTTGTCTATTCAGTTCCTCGGGCTTCGACAACGTAAAATTGATAACAGGACCGGCCGCTTCGACGTCGAATTATTACCGCAATATAACTAATTCGTCCATCTTGGTTTCACTTCTTGTGGATTATTTAAAATGATTAATATCGAGTGAATTATCTGGTAGGTAATAATTGCGAATTTTCGAATGGTTTTGATTTGGTTTTTCGAATGTTAACCGTATGCGTTTGAAGACGGCCCTGCGCAATATAATTTATAAGGATATATGCAATTTCTAGTTAATTATAGGTGTAGCTAAATAGATGAATGGATATCACCAAGACGTATGGATTGATGTATTAAGGCGAATTTTTTCACGAGCGTAAATATGTTGATTATAATCGTTAATTTTATTTCATTGCGAGAGCTATTCAACGGATACACACATACGCTATCTTTTTAAATAACTCCGCCTTTAAAGACTTTTTGTTGGTAATAAAATAAATATCGTAGGGAGGAAATTGTTGGAATCTTCATTCTTACTTTAAAAATTAATCTAATTTATTAATCAATGAGACGTTTATGCAGTGTCTTATGCAGTGTTATGCTACATTGATCTCTTTCAATGAGATTGATGGGAAAGAAATTCGAACTTACAAAACGCGTCACCATTGGTCGGAACAAAATGTGACGTCAATGATCACGTTTTGACACAAAAATATATGAGGAACAGTCCAAAATAAAGGAAGAAGAAGAAGAAGAAATCCTTTTTTTAAGCGTAAATTACATTTTTTCTCCTTTCTGTTTCATTATGTTATATAGGTTGCTCCATTTTTGATCGCAACATAGGTTATATAGGCCATGAGTGCGATAGAGACAACTTCCATTAGGCACTTATAAAGGAAAAGGAAAGAGTGACATTTGTGTCATTGCAACTTTTCACTCCGACAACTGTCATTTTAATAATCTTTCTTTGTTCAACTCATAGAAATGACCATGTTGCAATCGGAAATAGAGCAAGTTGTATAAATTCGTGTGATAAAATTTATATAGAAACGACATTGAATTTTGTATTTCTTATATTTGAGAAATTATGTATAAACCATTTAAATGTACAAAAACTTTAAAAAAACCATTTAAAATTAAAGAGACTTGAGTCTCTTCTACAGATATTACCGCGGAAGGTCCTCTGAAATGAAAAAAAATCGAGATATAATAACCTAAAATCCTTCGTCCAAAAAAAAACCTTAAGAGAAACAAGGGCAAATTGTTACAGCGAAAGAAGAACTAGTTTTTCAATTAATTAATCAACTGATCCGCGAATATAAAAAAAAAAAACTGTAATCTTTTTTTTTTCATCGAGCATCTCCAGATTTTATAGCATAGCAACAGCTCGTTTAAAACTGTATAATAATCCGATACACATCGCCATCGTACGCATATTTATCTATATTTTTTTCCGTCGTTTCTCCATTAATCGCATCCTTTAACGAAACCACTGGTAATCCAAATATCACGAGGATCGTCTACCTATGAGAGTGAAAGTACAGATTGGCCCGAGTCTCAAGCACCCACCCGGATCGTTGACCCCGGACCACAGAACTCAAATATCACCTGTTAGTCCGGTTAATATTTTTTTTTTCGACCATTTACTCCAGTTGGGATTCAGGGTATGCGACTTATGCCAGCTCGTACGTTCACCTTTTTTTTTTTTTTCATCCCAAATACCTTCGGGTTTTTCGCCAGAACCAACCGATCGGATCTTCTATCACCCGGCGCAATCATAGAGAATATTGAGTGGAATGGAGAAAAGTGTGTAATCACAGTAGACCTATTCAGTTTACGAAAGAGAGTGATGGAGTTATTTGATCAACATAAGAGAATAAAAGAAGCAAATATGTTTCACGCGCAATCTGTGGAACCATTTAAAATCTGCGCAAACATAAGTGCAAGAGAGATGAGATATTTGGCCTATTTCTTTGCTGATTGACAGACACATTGAATGATTCTTAGATGAAAACTGTTTTAAATATAAAAAAGAAGAGACCAACTTCAATCTTAACCCTATTTTGTTTCCGTTTGATGTTTGTTTATGTTCAGTGTGTATTATTTTTTAACAGTATTTCTTTGTATTATTTAGTATATTTATTTATAAAGGTAATAATTTTTTGTATAGGTCAATGGGATTATTTTTTTGAAATATATATTATAGCAAACCGATCAAAAAGCATTTTCGGAAACTTTGTACTAACCCTCTTACTCTTTCTTAGACTTGACTTGTACGTAAATATTAAGCCTATAACCTCTTTCTGGGCAGTAAAAACAAATTTGTATCGAGTCACCGCGTCCATTAAATCCGACGGATTGTTGGATAATGACAAATGACGTCTTAAGTTGTCGTTGTCTGGTTGTCAGAACCGTATTTTACCTGAGGTGCGTTCGTTTGTTCGTTTAGATGTCCAGCTAATTGTCCACAGTATGCGCGCGCAGCACAGGTTAAACTGAATAGGTCTGTTGGCGCAAATTGAATTTTGCGCATAATGTCACTTGTCATTTAAGGTAGATAGTCCAGTGTTGCCGGATGTAGCGGAATTGCACTAGTTTTAGGCGATCGTGTCTAGGCCTTATATCGCTAAAATGAGTGAAACTTAACGCAAAATGGTCGTTTCTATGAGTTGAACAAAGAAAGAATAATGAAATAACAGTTGTTAGAGTGAAAAGTTGCAATGACACAAATGTCACCTCTTTGACAAAAGAGACTGTTTAAAGCACGGCCCTATATTTCTTATACTCTAATTTCAAAATAGTAGGCACTAAATTCTCAGAAATGATTGTGAAGTTTTCGTTATTAGTTAGCCGTTATTCTATGGCTATTTAGCAGCTTGTAAATTATTTAAATAGAAGATGCTTAAATCTCTAGAATCACCACCTGACACAATGTTTTCGTTTTAAATCGATAATATTTCCGAGAATTTAGTGTCTACTATTTTGGAATTAGAGTATAGGCCTGGAAACTTCCTATGTTTATGCATTTTAGAGAATGTGTCCCGTTATTTGAGAACTTTTTGAGCTTCAAGTTTGAGGACCAACTTATCTCAGCCAATCAGCGTCGCGCTACATATAAATCGCGGTTGTGTGAAATGACAGTTCGAGCTGTCAAAAATTATTTTTTGACATTTCGAGGAGAAAATGGAGATATACATTAACCGAAGATACGTGAGGCATGATATTTACAACAAAATCATCGCTGATTTAAGTATATTTTTATATTTTGTATCTATTTTTAGTTAGAATATAACCTTTCTTAATGCTAATCCTGTATAATTCGTACGCAAAAAACCGTGGTCCTTTACAACATCGCCTCCTAGCGGCCGTTTTAGGAACCCTGTTTTATTCTCAAATAACGGGACACTTTTTCGACCGATGTTTCCAGACCTTAGAAATATAGGACCGTGGGCTAAAATGAGTGAAACTTAAATGCTTAACAAAATGAATCAAATTTTCTATTACTAATAGTATCAAAAATGTTAAATCATAATTTATATACACCGTGCTTCATTCGCGATTGCAACATGTGCATTTCTATGAGTTGAACAAAGAAAGATGACTTTTCTCTTTTCTACCTTAAATGACATGACATTGTCAAAATTGTCAAATCTGTCAAATTCAATTTGTTCCATATTATTTTTACGCGCATTTTATTTTTCTATTGGCGCAAATTAACGTTTCCAAATAGCGAATAAACATTTTCTAAAATTACACGAATAAATACCGGCGTTTATCAGGTGTCCAGCTGATTTACAACCTGCTCATTAACGCTATTTAAACAGTTATGCGTATAAAATTTAATACGGATATTTTACAGTGCGTTCGGATCTCCCGTGATGCGAGTAAATCCTTGCCAGTTTGTGTGATAAATAATTTTTCTAGCTGTTGTCGAATAACGGACACACCGAATGGTTTCGCTTTCATAGGTAGTTGATCGTTAGAAGAAGACAAGACACACCTATTTCGAACGCGAATGCGAAATTATTCCATTTATTTTATCGCTATACATTTATACACTGTTTTTAAAGTAAATTTTAGTTAGTTGTTAATCAATTTTTAACATTTTATAACTCTTGTTTTATTTATGATGGAATCTTTCATTAAGATTCATAGCATTCTTATATAGGGTGTTAGTAAATTGAATGCCGATATTTAAGGATGTAAATATTTGGGTGATTATAAGATGAAAAGTTTATATAAATGTATGTCCTAAACCTCTTAGTTTTTGAGCTGCAGGGGGTGTTAAAATTTTAGAAAAAAAAATAACTTTTCTATCATAATTTTGTTATTACTCCAGTTATTTTTAAGAAATTTTGTATAAACTTTTTAATTATTAAGGAAAATTTTTTAAGGCATAAGATTTTTTTAAATATTCACCAGTGACGTCCGTACGGGGTTGGAACTGAATATGTTTGAAAAAAAATGGTACACCACTGCTTTTTCTAAAAACTAAAATTAT